TGTGTGGCATTAGCTAGCTCTGTTTCTCTCTGCTCTGCTGGTCTGTGTTCCTGCAGCAAGACTTGTTACCTGTCGCCTCCCTCCTCGCTGCCCGTGGCTGACATTCTCCTTCTCTTACTCCTAATTGCCCCTGTGGGACTTATCAGGGCTGCTGTGGCTGTCTGCAGTGTGGCAGAGCTTTCAGCAAGGGCCGCTCTCGAGGCCCCGCCTCTCTCTCTCTTTCTCTTTCCCGCTTCGTGCCGCCTGACCGACTCCCCGCGTCCTCCACAGGTGTCGCCGGTCTTCCTCTTCCTCCCTCACCTGTCAGCCCCCGCCTCGCTCACATTCCCGAAGGGCTTCTAAGGGGACTGTGTCTTTGAAAGAAAAAGAAAAACAAAGTCAAAAATATAGGACATCTGATGTCCCAAGGTCAGACTGCATGGTAAATTGTCTGATCTGAAAATAACAGCAGATAACGTTCAGGCAGACATAAGTGAGGTGCCATTGAGGTTAATTTGTTTTGTCTGTGTTTTGGAAAGCAGACAACTGTGGCCCTGTTTATGGCAGGCACCCGGTGAGTTAATTACTTTATCGTTGCATTAATTGAAACATGAAATATGTAAACATTCTAGTATAACAGAGTCAGGTAATGTGTGTAATTTATTCTACTGTATGTGGGTTGATTTCTCTGAAACTGTGTGGTGCTTTCAAAACATTGGTTGTTTGAGCTTCTGCACCAGCCTGACACAGCAACAGTGGCTCAACCAATGGTGTTTGGGGCAGGACTTTTGACCAATCGCTGACAGGTAGAATTTTTAGGAAAACTGTAATTATTTTTGCAGTTCCATTTCAGTGATGCCTAGTGACAACAAAATTACACACTGCACCTTTAAGGTAATTGTGAAGTTTGCCAAAATCTGTTATAATGAACTCTTTTTTTTCAGTTTGATCATGTTCATCTTATAATGATAATAAAATAACCAGTGGGTACTAACATAACAAAGTTTTCTAAAACCTGGAACATAACACACTCACTTGTTTGCCCTTTTCTCTGGTATTGTTCATTTGGGGGTCACACTGTGGGGCGATTGGGCGATGCACCACCAGAGTGCGAAAGAGAGGGATTTTCTTTCTGTCACAGCTCTCACTGTTCTAGACTGTTCTGCCTTTGGATATATAGTCCAATCAGCATCAAGTCATGTTCTGTGGAGTACTGCCCCTTTTTGGGCGATTTCTCTCTGACCGAGAATTGTCCAGAGTGTTCTCATAGACTTCCATACAAAGATTATTATTTTTTGAACTGCATGCACTGCAATGCAATCTCTATGAGTTCCGGGAGGGCTAGCACTAACGTGATTTCGCCATCATACGTAACCTTAACTTGTGCAGCGATTGGTGGGAATAAACATACCTCTATAAATAAGAAATATGAAGTCAAGACTAGTCTGTATGGGCCGAATAAAGCAAACCAGTGAAGTTTAGATGGATGACGACTGTAATGGAGGTAAAGACGATTGCAGTGACATGCAGGAGTTGTACATTATTAGACAGGCGTGTTATTATTAATGTGCAAATAAACAGACCGTGTATGTGCACTCTCTGATAACTTATTGCACGAGCACATTTCAGTATTTTCGCATGTCTGGCAAGTGTTTTACAATGGACACTCGATGAAGAAGCGTGTTATTATAGGAGCTTGCGATGTTCAGTGGTGTTTATATACATATGGGCATGAATACTCACTCTGACAGAGGAAATATTCACTGGTGATGTCGAGCTGCCTACAGATCACCATATTCGACAAATTTAGAATGTTTTTATTTACTTTTTAAATTTGTGTTTTGCTCTGTTTAATATATCTGAATGGATCCGGTATATATCTATATACAGCCAGATTAAAGGGATAGTTAACCCAAAAATGAAAATTAGCCCATAACTTAACCTCAGGGCATCCTAGGCGTATCTGACATTCCTCTTTCAGACGAACACAATCGCAGTTATATTTAAAATTATCCTGGCTCTTCCAAGCTGTATAATGGCAGTGAATGGTGCCCCTGTTTTTGAAGCCTAAAAAACTGCATCCATAAAACTACTCCACACGGCTCCCGGGTGTCAATATAGGCCTTCTGAAGCGAAACGATGGGTTAGTGTAAAAAAACTAAAAAAATTTTTTAAATGTACAAACTGTAATCTCCTGCTTCCAGTCGCTCAAGCAGGCAACTGAACAACACCAGAGGGTTAAAATATACATTAAAAATAAGTCTTATTTTTAGCATTTATTTTCACCATGCTGTGCCATGCAAAGCATGCTTTAAAATTGAAGTTGCTCCAATGCAAACAAATTAAAGTGCCCCTATTATGCCATTTTGAATATTGCCTTTTAAGCAGTGTGTAATGTAGCTGTATGTAAATGTAAACGATTTGCAAAGTTGTAAAGCTGAAAGTGCACGATAAATAAAGTTATTGTCTCCCAAAAGAAAGAATTGACTCTGAACAGCCTAAACGAGTCGTCAGTAATTTGAATCCCACTTCCGTGATGGCTACACGTCACGGGGTAACAGATTTGCATAATGCCCACCTATGTTCTACATTGGTCGGCTGTGAACAACTTGACCCACCCTCAAACACTGTAGCTTGTTCGTGTCAAGAACACACTGTGTCCTACTCTGTGAAAGCAAATTTGTTTTATTTTCACTTCCAAAAAATAAGGCTGCAAAGAATCTGTGGTTAAAACAGAAGTATTTTTTGACCTTGCATGTATGTAAACCTATTGTAGGAGACTCCCAAAACAATATTAGGAAACCTAAAAATGGCATAATAGGTAAATAAGTAAAGTTCTGTTTTTAAATTAATTTTAAAATCAGAAAAATTATGGGGATTATCACATTTAAATAAAATTGAGGAATAAGAAAAAATATTTTTTCAATATTAAAAAATATGTTTCAGTGTCAAAATTATATCATAAGTGAAGCAAATATTAATTAACTATATATCATAGACTATTCTTCTGTGAATCACAAAAGAAAATATTTTAAGGATCGTTGGGGTCCAACATTCAACTTTTTTCCCCCAAAATTATATTTTTTTGCATTTTTACAGAAGAAAAGCAGTCATGCAAAATGAGGTTAATAGACATTTGTATTATCACCCTCTAGTGGCACCTTTACTTTATGGTAATATGGAGTTGAAGGTTTAAGAACATGCTGCAACAGAAGCTAAAACTAAATATTATTTAGTTTAAGTTTTCTCAGTTATTTATTTATTTTTTTGCTTTTTTTGGTAACCTAGGTTTGGAATGACATAAGGGTGAGTACTGTAAATGATGACAGATTTTTCATTTTGTCTGAATTATCCTTTTAAGGTACTCAGTCATGACTGACATAAAGAGTCCGTAGTTGGGGATCCGCATGTGTCAAAATGACACAACAGTGAGCCTGTAAAATGAAGTGCTGTGTGAAACCATAGTGTCCCATTGAGTTCTCCTAGGTTTGTGCTTACATTTAAGGACAGCAGGGGAATTTTCATCCTTCACTATCCATCTCCATCTCAGCAGGATGGACTTGTAAATGAACAAGCAGACATTTTGTGCTGGAAACTGTGTCTGTTCACTCTGACACACCATGTAACAAAACCGCTTTAGATCCAGCTGAGTTCCCCCGGCAGGACTATGTCAAGGGATTTGCCAGGTCACAGAGCTGAGCAAAATGGCTGCCTGAGTTTGACTAATGTGCACCAGGAGCCCGCTCTCTTTGCCCAGGAGTGTTGGGTGGCTGAAATTCATTAAAGAGCAGAATCCGTAAACTACAATTGTTGGATATAACAGGGCCCACATTTCCCATTTCGCTTTCCTGTTTGTACTGAAATACACAGATAAAATCATGTGCACACTTATATTTATACATGCGTAGAGCTCCCATGACAATTTCTAGCTCATTGACTTTGACAGCAAATCAATATCCTGCGCTATCTATTGTTACCTAATTTAATTAGGCCAATTCATAAAGCAGAACATAATGGAGCTAATGGAAAGTGCTATTAGGGGAATAGCGGCACCATTTAAGTCACGCACGGAACTACAAAAGTCAATTCGGCATTGCAATTGTGCATTTCCATCTGAATCGCTGGCCCTCAAACGTCGCTCTTCCCGGATGAAGGGCGATGTTGACCTGATGCATTTTTACACTGACGGAGAGAGGTGAGCGAATGTCGCAAGCAATATTGTAAATCAAAAAACCAGAGGTACTTAAATGCGATTCATTGAGAGGCCCGCGTCTCCCCTTCGCAACTTTGCGCAATCACATTTGCAATCTGCTTGATAAAGTGCGAGAGGGAGTGAGGGCAGGCGTTCAGTCGCAGACAAAGCCGTAGATTGATGTGGAAACAGGAAACGTGCTGATTGCTGATTATTATGTGGTGGCAGGATGCTTTTGTCTCTCAGACTGTCATTCCAGCAGGTCAGTTCAGAGCCAGCAGGCTATTGTGACCGCACATGCTGATAAAACCCAACACACATTGGTTGTTAGTTTTTTTTTTTTTTTTTGAGGGGCAGCTGAATTCAATAGCACTGCAAGTGTTTAGATCTTTAAAGCGGGGCATTTAGAGAGCATGCGTATTGATTCATTGATTACAGATTTGTGAGAGCTCGCCCATTGGCCTGCTCTGCAGTATTTTAAGAGTTGGAGGTTAATGGCTAAGTAAAAAAAAAGCCTTTCTGCCATTTATAGTGATGGCTTCAGCACTTTAAATGGCCTCTGGTTTTATACTTCATGAATGTGGGACGCCAATTATATGGATATCAGAGCCTCGGCCACAAAATTTGCAGTGGAATTGGTGTCTTATGGAGAATGTTTATAACTTTCTATAGAAAGATATCTTTAATAAGGGGATGGTTGTCGTATGATACAGGAGCTCTAGTTGCCTTTAATTAGAAAGAGAAGCATTGCCAGCAGCCTTGGGATAACACTCTGAGACTTCACCCAATAACTGATTGTTTTTCGATTTCTTTTTCTCTCTTATTACAGGTATTGTGTGGCTCGCTGGCAGCAGGAAGGACTATGAGGGTGGCTGCCACCTGCACTGCAGAGCTCTGTAACTTTGGCAGATAGGATCATTATCCCCCTGTAAGACACCCTAAGAGCGGAAAAGATGAGGACTTGGATTGTACTTCTTCTGTGGGCGTGTGCACAACAGACTGTGAATGCAGTTGCCCTTTCAAGAGGGCCAGTTCGAAGGAAAACCAAAGAAATTGAAGGACGGCAAGACAAAGAGTTGCTCAGACGTTCAAAAAGAGGATGGATGTGGAGACAGTTTTTTCTGCAGGAGGAATACACTGGAACGGAGCACCAGTACATTGGCAAGGTATGAGATCGTGTTTCTTTTCCAGGGTATAAAGGTGGTGTGAGCAATGCTGGAGTAATATTGATGGAGTCGATTGCAGAGGTAGATTTGGTTTCATCACTCCTTCTGATTCTGTCTTCTGAGGTTAATAAACAGAGAATGATCAAAACTGTGCCTATGTCATATGTAGGGATCTCCAGCGTAGAGCCTGCTGGATTTGAGATAAGGTGCAGGATGAAATCTGACCTCTCTGGTACCTCACACTTCATCTGAAGCTCAGAGCTGCTCAGGATCAAAGATTAGAATAAAACATAACAGCTTGATACTGTTACTTATAGCAGGAGATCTCAAACTGTGGCCCTGAGTTGGTAGGCAACACAACTTAAAATGTACAATACTAAAAATATAAGTTATTATTTAAAATATTCAATTAAAAAACTATTTCTGTGTAAACAGAACAAGGGGGCACAAGAAGTATCACATTAGTGAAAACATCGGACACAATCTTCAATATGTAAAATCGCACTAGTATTAAAAATCTGACCAATACAGATAAGTTGATCGTAATTTTCATTTTAAGGCTAAAATTATTGTAAAATAGGAACATTTGATATTAATAAGAATACATTTAACTGTAATTAAATTATTAATTGTATTAAAGATTAGATGATGGCAAATATAATATAAATGTAAAAATACACTGAAAAAAAATTATACTAAATTTTTTTAAGGTAAGTGGTTGCAATCATTTTATTTTAGCTACATTTAAATAAACAAATTTAGTTGACTAACTTTCAGCTAAATTTGTTTATTTAAATGTAGCTAAAATAAATTGATTGCAACCACTTACCTTAAAAAACTTTAGTAAATTCAATGAATAATTTTTTTTTTTTTTTTGTGTAGGGGAAACGAGCATTTCACAATAAATATCAACATACCAAAATAAACAAATAAAAGTAATGGACAATAACCAACATACTACAGATATATTATGCATCCCTAAATATACACTAAAGTTCAAAATGTTTAAGGTAAGTGACATTTTTATTTTGAAAGCAATTAGTACTTTTATTCATCAAGGACACATTAAGCTGACAAAAAGTGACTTATTAGTAAAGACATTTATAATGTTACAAAAGATTTCTATTTCGAATAAATGCTCTTCTTTTGTACTCTCTAAAATCACATTGCCACAATAATATTAAGCAGCACAACTTTTCAACATTGTTAATAAAAATAAATATCATTTGAGCACCAAATTAGCATATTAGAATGATTGGTCTCTAAAGGATCAAAAACATTAAAAACATTTTTATTGATACTAAGCATGGGTTTGAATACTATATAATATTGAGTATTAATGAGTTTTAACTGAATTGTAAAATTTGTATATTTACAACAATAGAACCTGAAATTCTTGAAGTTTTTTCTTGTAAATGCTGTTCTGCATAAGGCCTGTGAAGGAACTGATAAGAGATTATACAGGAATATTGATATCAATCAAAATATGGCACTATCTTTTTTGCACAGTCCTTAAGCTTGCACTCCAGTGATGAGAATTTATTAGGTGGTACTTGGATGTTCTGATTTGATCAAAGGTACTTCTTGGCCTGAAAAGTCTGAGAATCACTGACTTGGAGACTCGAAAGCTTTGCAAAGGATCACCCACCACTGGATTATTCATGTGGGATGTTGTAAGCGCAGAATTCACAAAGCTCTCATTGTTGCTATGGACATTATGTGTCTGGATCATGTAGCAGTCAATGTGGAGTAGAAGCAGCTATTTCTAAAATGTTCAGAGGGAAAATTATGAAGAGCAAAAGAGCCATTGTGTTTCAATGGTCTTTTGTATTTTACTACCCTATTTTACTGTAACAAAGCGGCTCATTCAAGTGGAAAGAAATTCACTTACTCCTCTTATCAGATGTCATTGTCAAAGCTAATCACATCACACCTTCAGCTGTGAAGTGTGATGTTCCTATCAATCAATTCAGTCATTTCTTCTAACAATAGTAAATATCACAAATTCAACAGTTAGACACATCTTTGAAAGACGAGAAGCAGAAAAGTTTGATTTGCCTTATGAATATCAGACAAAAGTGGTTGCACCGAGAGATACCATGTGGCAGCATCACTGTTAGTAATAGACGTGCATTCACCTTGATTGCACATTCAGCATGTTATACTTTCATCTGATATGCCATCAGAATTCAATTCCACAAGGGCTCATTTTCACATATTTACCATGGCGTACCTGTCTATTGCTACATTCCCCTGTAGTATTTCTTCATTGTTTTATTCCTTCAAAATCTACGGATATTGAATACATGCAGAATATTGAATGCAATACATATTCATGAGCCCTATCAACAGCAGAATGAGCGGAGGTGCTGATGAAATGCTTGAATTGCTTCCTCTCAACAGCTTCACTCAGATATGGATAGAGGAGACGGCACAGTTATGTACGTTCTCACAGGTGAAGGTGCGGGGACGATCTTTGTGATAGATGTCAACTCAGGAGATCTGCATGCTACCAGGAGCCTGGACAGAGAGGAGAAGCCTTTCTACGCGCTCCGAGCTCAGGCTGTCGACAAGAAGACCGGCCTCCCACTGGAGCCAGAGACAGAGTTTATTGTGAAACTACACGACATCAATGACAATGAGCCTAAGTTTGACAAGGAGGTTTATACAGCGTCCGTACCTGAGAGGTCACACATTGGTAAGATTCGGCAGCTTCAAAAACAAGCTTTGAAGGTTTTGTGAGCCCACATGAATTACAGTATATAAATATTGCAGAAGTAATACAAAACAATATTGTATCATCATACTTTAGTATGTATATCATCATTTTAAGGAATAATAGAGTCCAAAATAATAATAATACAGTCCATGCAGTTCAATTAATTGTGACTGGAGCTTTTTAAGCTTTAAAAAGTAAATGTAAATTTGGTAATTTTAGTCATTATTCACTGATAATCTTACCCTGGAAAACTGTTAGCTGCTGCAACTGGATTACTGAATCAGCGAGTTGAGCTTGAAAACCAAATTAGTCAGATTCATGAATGAATCATTCACATTTTGCAAAAATTGGTTCAATTCATCTTTCAAGTCTTTTTGTAGCTTGAAAGTTTCCATCCGAATTCTTTAGTCATGGACAAGAGTAACAAGCTCATTCTTATTCCCTCTTTTTGTTTTCCACTGAAGAACGAAAGTCATAACAAATTATGTGAGTGACTACATAATGACAGATTTTTCGGGTTTATAGGTGAACACTTCCTTGAACTGATTTCTTGTTTTTCAGGCACCTATGTCACTCAAGTTACCGCCCAGGATGCAGATGATGAAATGTTTGGCTACAGTGCAAAGCTGGCCTACAGCATCAGCCAGGGTCATCCATACTTCTCAGTAGAGCCAAATACAGGTCAGTCCTGCTGAACTGTTATATCATAGACAGAGATGGCGAGATGAACAGAGAGACGCTGAGAGAGTGTATGTATCTGTATAATTTGATGTGGGGCAAGGGTTGTACTGCAGCTCTGTCGTTCAAGCATTTTAGCCGAGCAAATTCACCCAGCGAGCTTAATCATTGCTAATGTGTGCCCTGGAACATTTCCCGCAGAGGTCTTTGTTTAAACAAAAGAGAAATAGAAACACAAAAGCTCCCATGGCAGATTAGTGTCCAGCTTAACACTGATATGCTTTAGCCCAGATGGGACACGAACGATGATGTCCATGAGCACACGAAATCCCAAGACCGAAAAAAGGGATATTCATTAGAGGTGGGGGTTAATCTGGGAACATTTGTGCCAATCAAAGAAGCAGCAGGGCCTGGGTTCTTCTCTATGTGATGGATTTGCCTTTTGCCTTTTTTGGGTCTGACCGAGACATCAGGCGTTTCACGTTCAAAGTCAACGTGAGTCACTGTTTGAAGGCCGTTTTACTTTTGTAATGTGATGTAACAGGAGTTTCAGTGAGAAAAAAATCAGGATGGCGTTACAAACCAAAAAGTGAGATTACTAAACAATCCCGCAATCCCATAAAAGATATTTGGCTATTGGTTAACATTATCCAGTAGCTTGCATTTTCCTAGATTTAAAAAACATTTGCAATGATCACAAACATTTACAATAACAAAATAAATTTGGTAACACTTTACAATAAGGTTCCATTAGTTAATGTTAGTTAACGTAATAACTAACATGAATAAACAATGAACAATACATTTATTACAGTATTTGTTAATCCGTATTAATGTTAGTTAAAGAAAATAAAAATGTTAGTTCATGTTGATTCACAGTGCATTAACTAATGTTAACAAGCACAACTTTTGATTTTAATTATGTATTAGTAAATGTTGAAATTAACATTAACCAAGATTAATAAATACTGTAGAAGTATTATTCATTCTTAGTTCATGTTAAATAAAGTAGTTAACTAATGTTAACTAATGAGCCTTATTGTAAGGTGTTACCAGACATTTTGTAATATGTTTTAAATAATTATAATAATTATTATTAAATAATATAATTATTATTTATATTAAATAAAATATATAAAAATAATAATTATTATTATTTTATGTGTGTGTGTTTATATATATATATATATTATGATTACATGTTGTCTTAAAATTTAATATTAATAATTTTTTTATTATTTCATAATTTATCTTGAATGTTTACTTTTCATACCTGTACATTATGTCTTGTATGATATTGTATTTCTTTCTGTGGAAAAAAAAAATACTTCACTTAT